TTCTTCAGTATCTGTAAAACATTAAAAACTTAGAATTCCTTTAGAATACAGGTTTTATTGTTTTTAGAGCAAAAACTGTGATTGGGTATGATTGGAGTTTCTACTTAGAAAGTTTCAGAAATGAAAATACTTCATCCACGTTAGATTGTGATGATAATATGTCAGCCATAGGTGCTTTTCAGCATTTCAGTTTAAACAATATTTTTTCAAGTTGAATTTCAAGTGATGTGTGAGGCTCTGGGCAAGTGTTGTTTTATGTATCGGATTGTGTGGAGAAACCAAAAACACATAGATTATAGATTTGAAAAGGGCAAAATACTTCTAAGTAGTAGGTTTTTGGATTCTTAAGTGTGATTTATTATACCATTTCCAGCTGAAGCCTGCCTTTTCAATTTTAATGGCAGTAATTTCGAAGTTGGTTCGTTCAAAAAGTACAGATTCATCTTTATAGGAACATATGAAACAGGACAGATCGAATTTAATAGGAATAGTAAATAATATTAATTTTAAAATATACTCTACCTAAATGGATGTACGTTTAACAGAAGTATATGCCCTTTATCACCTTCCTTCCCCTGCCCCTGGCAAGCAGTCTGTACATCCCAGCTTTGGGAAACTGAATTGTAAATGCCACAGAATAAGCAACTAAAATTCTCCCAACAGGCAGTGCATTTTTCTAAAGCATTTCAGTGAGCGGCCTGAAAAGAGAAAGAATGTTTTAATAACAGGGATGATGCTTTAATAGTGGAGGCAACACTCGCAGTATTCTATATTATGTTAACATTTCTTGGATACTTCTTTTGACTAGTTGGTGCATGGTGGTAAGGTTCAGAACTGAGGGAACTTGGTCTTGGTGTCAGCCCTGTAATTAATCCATGTTATTACTCAGTAGAGAAATCACATAACCTCTTTCCACTACAGTTTTCTCGTCAGTAAAATGAAAACTGAGCCCCTAAAGCCAAGAGCCTGGTGTTTGCAAGCCCTGTAAGAAATAATTCTCAGTTTTATTAGATGTAATCTGAGGTATTAACCTACTGATGGCTGATATTGGTTCTATGAAGAGTTAAATACTAATGTAGGCTAATAATCTTGGGCCTGTTACTTAACTCCTTGCAGCCTCAGTTTCATTCCCTGTCAAATTAGGGTAGTAATGTCTAAATTGTTTTTTTAATTTAAAATGCCATATATGTATATGTAATCTATATCATATCTGTGCAGTTTATAATAAATTATTCATATATAAAATTAAGTATTGATGCTAATGTTTATCATTGTAGTTACTAGGCAATTTTTGGTATTTTTCTGCTGATTACTAGACAATAGAATAAGTTTTCTGCTCTGGCTGGTGTGGCTCAGTGGACTAAGTGCTGGCCTACAAACCAAAGGGTCACTGGTTCGATTCCCAGTCAGGGCACACGTCTGGGTGGCAGGCCAGGTCTCCAGTAGCAGGTTCGTGAGGGGCAACCACACATTGATGTTTCTCTCCTTCTCTTTCTCCCTCCCTTCCCTTCTGTGTATAAATAAATAAATAAAATCTTTTAAAAAGAAGAATAAACTTTTATCACTGTTCTGTGGAATCCTATAGTGTCTTGAAACTTTGTGAACAGCTAGTTTACACCATGTTCCTATCACCTCCTCAGAAAGCCTGTTCCTAATGTTTATTTTCCCCTATTTCTAATCATCTCCAAAGTGCTTAACCTTTTATTTCTACTGATCTTGTCATTGCTGACCTTCCTTCTACTATACTTTATTCTACTTTTTAGAAATTATCTGGGCTTACCAATATCTTCCTTCTTACAAAATTATCTTTCTGCATTGCCGTTATCATTGAATCCTTGTTTCCCCTAGTCCCAACTAATATACAACCATGCATCTGTACCCAGTTGGTTTTTGGTAGTGGTCTCTAGTAGAAATGGCTCATTGCTTCACATTCAGATTTTATACCTCCTCTTTTTTCCTCCTAATTGCATTGGATTGCATCACTAGTACAACATTAAGTAATTTGGTATAATGTACATGTATACCTTGTTCCTAAAATTAATTACCTTCATTAAATAAAGAGAATATATTATATAAAATGTATATAGTCATATTAATTGAATATGAGACATTGCTGATTGTAAAATATACCTCAGTGTTATGGACTAATAAGAAAAAATTACACCATTAGTTGTAAGATGTGTTACTATTTCATAAATGTTAAAATATGAAGAAAATATAGCAGGATCAGTGAGATATGCAAGTATAATAGATAGTGTTTTTAGTCTTATTAAATTTTTTGTTAAAATGTCCATGTATTGTTGGCTTGATAGAAACTTTTCAAATTTGTGTTACTTTCATAGTTTCTTTGAGCTCTAAGTTACTTTTTGCTTCATTGCAGATATGTGCAAACTAATACTTTTTTTTCTTGGTCTCATTCTTTCCAAGTGTTTAATTCCTTTATGATAGTGTAACTTGATAATCTCTAGTTTCAAAATCTCACTCTGGCAGAAAGGTGCAGCATCATTTGAATATTTGAGATGGAAAACATTTTTCTTTTTTTAGGAAGGGTAAGCTGTATTGAAAGTTTCTCACCTCTTCTCCCACCGCACAGAGTTATATGTTAGCTGTACTCATGTACCAAATTCATGCTAGCCATGATGTGGTAGAGTCCTCCGACCTTGTACTGTCAGTTCACCTTCTATGAACTTTTTCTTATATATTTAAAAAAATTATTGTTGACATACAATATTTTATTAGCATATAATAGACTTTTGAAGCTTGAGGATTTTGCCTTAGTTTCTGTTGTTGTTTTTTTCTCTAAAGCTAAACAACAACAACAACAAATCCTTTAATTCTTTGTTGGTTTACTATTACCATATATTTCTCAGACCCTTATTAATTTACTTTATCATTGTCTCTAGATGAGAGACTTAGAAATCTCATTTACTTTGAGAGAACACTTACGTTGAGGTGGAGTGGAGCAGATATCTGTGAGTGTATATTAGTATTTTGCACACCTTAAAACTCTCAGTTGTGAGAAAAGTCACTCATTTTTATTTGGAAAAAGATAATTTCTGTGTACCATTGAGGGCTCTGCAACTCAAGGTTGACATCCAGTATTCTGTTAAGCCTGGATTGTCTTCTCAGAGACGTAGGGGTGTTTGTCCAGGAAATGAGAAAAATAAAAGCAATTAAAAAAACTGATTTTTTCTATCAACTAAAATATTTTAAGGACCTCACATTCTATGTGAACGATATAATAATAGAATAATGTTTAAAAATGTTAATTTAATGTCTTATGCAATGGACTATCCAGAAAGTACTCTTTGGCTAGTCCTTCTTTACTCATGATAATACTGAAACCCAATTAAACTGGTTGAAATGATTATCAAATACTCGTGCAGTTTATAGACTTTAGGAAGGCAGACTTATGAACTCCTGAACATGTATGTAAAATATGGGCACAATTTTTTTAAACACTTTCATAGTTTAAAAAATATATATTTTATTTATTTATTTTTAGAGAGGGGAAGGGAAGGAGAAAGAGTGGGAGAGAAACATCAGTGTGTGCTTGCCTCTCATGTGTCCCCTGCTGGGAACTGGCCCGCAACCCAGCCATGTGCCCTGACTGGGAATCGAACCGGCGACCCTTTGCTTCACAGGCCTGTGCTCAATCCACTGACCTACACCAGCCAGGGCACAATTTTTTTTTTAAGGAGAGGATCCTTAGCTTTCAGCATAGTCTCAAAGAAGTTAATAACCCCAAAGAAATTAATCCACTTCTACAGAGTTCTAGGTCAGCACTATTTTCTAATGTGCTCTCTATAGTGATATTGGTTGTAAATCATGAAATGATTTTGAAATCATTTTGAAGCTCAAACAAAGTATTTTGAGTATTTTGAAGCTCAAAACAAAAGTTTTTGAAGAGTATTTTGAAGCTCAAAACAAAGAAAATTTGATTCTGAGGTGTTACTGTGAGAAAACCAGCATTATTCAAGTGGTATATTTAAAACAATTATAACACTGCTCATGAACTACCCTGGGAATTCACTTTTAGGAAGTATTGAGTGTAAATGAAGATGGTATTACTGTATGGACAGAAAAAGGCATTAGAAAGCTGTGGATCCATATATGTTGGAAAATGCGAAGTATTAAAAATACGCTTTTTTTAAAACTTGAGTCATTTCATAATTGTGGTTTAAATTATTTTTCTAAAGAGTATACAGTGTTTTCCCAGGAGGTATCCAGGCATGTAATATGAAAAATAGAGACATTTATTGAAGAAGATGCAAAATACACAAAACATTGTACATAGGACAGGGCACCTCAGTCCCCTTCAAAGTAGGCACCTTGGGACCTCACACAGTTCACTTAATCACCATCAACTGCCCTGTTGTATTTTCCCACATCTCACTGATGGTCTGAAATCTCTTTCCTTTCAAAGATGATTTTAGTTTTTGGAAAAGCCAGAAGTTGCAGGGTGCCAAATCTGGGCTGTAGGGGGCCTGATCCACCTCGGTGATTTGATGTTTCACCAAAAAACTCTGCACGAGAGACGTGATGCATGAGTGGGTGTGCTTTGGTGATGAAGCTGCCAATCACCAGTTGCCCATAGCTTCAGCTTAGTTTCCATGGAGGAGTGTTTGAGCTTAACAGGAAATTTGATGCAGATTCGTTACCCTACTACCTCAGCCATTTTGCATGGATGCTCACATAGTACACATGTTCACTTAACGGCATCTCCTGCCCCCACTGAGTAGTACAGTGAAGTCATCATTGTTCACACATGCACATTCCAGTCCACTCTCCTTGGCTGCCAGGTTACATCAGTGTCATGCAAACTGTTCTCATATCAACAGTGGCTGGACTTTTTCCAGATAGACCTCGTATATACTTGGAAATAATAAATGTTACCTGGTATATTTGTGTGTGTGTGTGTGTGTGTGTGTGTGTGTAAATTATGTACTTTTTAATGTTCATGAGAATAATGAAAATATGTGATTTTTCTTTTATTATAGTGTATGCAGGATATGGGAAATACTAAAGCAAGACTACTGTATGAAGCCAATCTTCCAGAGAACTTTCGAAGACCACAGACAGATCAGTATCCTTTAATATTTCTGTATTGTGGGTTTGTAAAGAATGAACTCATTTCTACAGTTTATATTATAACTGTGTTTAGGAACATATGAACTTTATCACACTGTTGTTCACTAGAGATAGAACTTGATTTGTCCTTGGCTGTGCTTTGTATTTAGTAAATTTTTGTTAGGAATCTGGTAATACACGATCTGTGTATTGTTTTTAATGTAATGATTACTAAGTATAAACTTACGACTAATTCTTCTTGATCTTCAACTCTTGATTGGAGAGTTTATTGGAGATTTGATTTGTGAGCATCTTGACTATTTAAAAATTTTTTTTCCAAAGGGATTTATTTTCTTTGATCACCTTTACATAGTAATTATATTTATGTGAAGCATTTTGGCATGTATGCATTGAAAAGGCAAATTACATATTTAGTGGGAGTGCTGAATTAATTTATGCTAATTACTACTGACATTTTATCTTTACATAGGTTGCACAGTTATGTTACTTTACAGATCTGCTCTAATGAATGAGTATAATATTTTCTCACAGGTATTTAAGATGTTTTTCACATTTGTTAAAAATAAATATTTTTAACATGTTTACTTTTAGATCCTATAGAATTTTTAAAACTCGTATTGAAGTTTGAGAAAACACCTCATCAAAATTGCACTACTCTGTAAATAAGATTAATTACATAATTCATTATAGCTATTTGTGATTCCTTCCAAAGGTAACATTTGCAGCTTTGATGCTAAAATGTAGTTTCTAAAGATCAATTATATATTATCCATTTGTATATTAAAACAACTTGTGTGGTCAAACATGGAAAAAAGATGATCTTTTTTCTCACATGAGATACAGGCCATTATATAATATATATTTTCGCATTTATATGGGAACCTTTTTAGTTATAGTCACAGAGCTAGTATTTGTATTTGACCTATTCTGTTCCTACTCTCTGCTTCCATCCCACAAATTTGGTAGTCTGGTATTGAAGGCTATTTTTATTGTAGCATCATCCTAGGGTAAGAGTGGCAAGTGCATTTAAGGCAGAAAAAAATTGAGGAGAGGTGTTGTTAAGGTTGTGAGGAAACGTGTTATTTTAACGTTTTGGTGTGACAGTCTTGTGGGGTAAGTGGCAGTAGAAGTTATTTTCTAAATTATGAAGGGTTTTTTAATACTAAATAGAACAGTTTGGACCTCATTTTATTGGCCCAAAGAGTTGAAGGATTTGAAAAGCCTTGAAGGGTTTTAAAGCAGGAGAAAAATTGAAAACATTAACTTCTCCACAAGGAAGATTAGTTGAAGGAGATTTTGAAGTCAGAGAGAGAACATGTAGAATTCTAGTATAGCCCCGAAGTTAGCAGTAATGAAGATCTAAATTAAATGGTGGCATTGAGAATGGACAGCAGGAAATTGGGAAGATCAGGAAGAAATTTGGGAAAGTAGGAGTTATGGGATTAAGTTTAGATTGGCTTTATTTCTTAGAAAACCACTGAGCCAAGCCCAGATTTTCTAGTTTGGCAGAGGTTCTATGGAATTCAATGGAGAGAAGGAATTTAATACCAGATGTAGGTTTAAGAGTTAGAAATGAAAGATAATGAGCCATCCTTCATTACTTTGGGCAGGTTGAGGTGTCTGTTTGACACATACATAGAGATACCTATTTAATAGCTGGAAACATGAATTTGCATCCAGAAAAAAGGATGCTTATTTGATCTTTCAAAGTAAGTGTGACTACTTCTAAAGCATTTGCAAATTATGTTCATATTTATATGAGGTGTTAACCTCTTACTGTTCACAAAAAGATGATCTAATGGTCAGAAACTACTTAAAGAGGGATTTTTGTCTAAACAAATTTGAGATAGATAACCACTAATGATAAAAGTATATAAGATAATACCACTTAGACCATGAGACTGGCCCCTAAATCTGATGTAATGCCTTAAAAAATTCTTTTTAAACCTTAGCTAATAGCGATAGCACTTTTATCCCTTTGTTTAATTATGAAACACTGTGAGTTGGAGGTCCTATTAGGGAGACTAGAAAGAAAACCGTTGCCTGTATTTCGTGAACCATTCTAAATCTCAGAGCTCTTTTAAAAAGCCTAACATTTCTAACTATATTTAAGTCAATAAAACTGAGTAAAACTCACATAATGTGGGACCTCATAGCATTCTTAACAAATTTTTTTCACCTTTCAACAGCTTTACAATTACAAAAGTTATGCAAATGCTGCTGTGAAAGTATAATTTCTCATGAGAGATGTGGTTAATTATAGGCTGCATGTACTAGTGCATGACAAAGGATAAAGCTTTACATTATTAGGATATTTCATCTTATCTAAAACTTTAATTACTTCAGCTCCATGAGATCTTTTGTGCACCAAAACTAATCAGCAGTTCTCCTTTGAGTTTTTGAAAGTTTTATTGCTGTCAGTGCTGTCTCTGAAACTGAAAGATTTTCTTTGTGGGAGTGGATATTAATTTAATTGTCTTTAAATGGTATCTTTAAAGAAAGGAAAAAATACTAAAATATGAAAAACATTTGTTAAAGATAGAATACATAGAAACATAAATTTTCTGGGCTTATAATAGTACCATTTGTTAGTTTTGAGGATGGGGACAGTTACAGGTTGTGTACTGAGTGTTTTGTAACTATAGGCCTGGGGAAGATTCTGGGGTATTTTGTTCTTGTCTGCTTGCTAGATCCCAGATTGACCACTTAAACTTGAATTGTTGTTAATACATGCCTTATCTCGATTCCCTGAAAATACTACTATTCTATTTCTATTTTTTTGTTTGTATTCTTTCTTTTTTTGGTTGTGTATATCAGTATAACTAAATTGAATGTCTCAAATGAGACCTGGAGACTGGAAAATGAAGATAAGTATTTCCTAACTCCAAATTCATTGATTTATTTGTTGTTGTTCCTCATTTGCTCATCTATTTAAACTTGGCACATGCAATCTGTCTTAGCACTTAACACAGTAGTTGTCCATTTCTGCCCTCTACATTGGGCACTATGTTTTAAAATATTGTCAAAATATTTATTAATAATAATAGCTAAAAATTAAATAGCACTGACTGTATACCCTGCACTCTTATTTCTTCATATACACTGGATTATTTATATGCACTAGCTTATTTTATTCTTACAATAATCCTGTGAGATGAATTTTAGTGCTATCTTTATTTTAAATGTGAGGAAGCTGATATGTAAAAGTATATAAAAATAAAAGCTAAATTTCCTTATTGATTATTTATGTGCTAAGTGCTTTATATGTATTATTCCCCACACTTAATACCTGTGAGATGAGTATGATTTTTTTTTTTTTTTTACATATCTAGGTTTGGGTTTAGTAGATTAGCTAAAACTTCAAGGTCACAGTAACTGCCAGTTAAATAGCAAGTGCCTACTGGTACCAGAAAGGATATACATTGGATACCACCTTCATTTGGAATTAGTTTACCTTAAAAGTCTATCAAATTGTTTATACAGTAGTCCTCTCTTATCCGTGGTTTCACATTCCGCAGTTTTAAGTTACTCAAAGTCAACCATGGTCCAAAAATTAAATGGAAAATTTCACATACTTTGCGAGACAGAGAAAGAGGGGAGGGGGGCAGAGGCCATGTTCACATACCTTTTATCACAATTTGTTTTAATTGTTCTGTTGGTTATTGTTAATCACTATGCCTATCTTATAGTTAAACTTTATCATAAGTATGTATGTATGTAAGTATAGAAAAATGTATGTCTAGGGTTTAGTACAATCTGCAGTTTCAGGCATCCACTTGGGGTCTCAGAACACATCCCCCTTGGATAAGGGGGAAACTGCTGTAATGACAGTTTGTAGAAACAAAGATTCTCTATAAATCCAGGTTGGCAGTTCTTTGACCTCTAGTGTTGGAGTAGAATTCAGGAACCAGTAACTACAGGCCCATGAGCCAGCTCCTGATTTTATAATGAAATTTGTTAGATTGTAGCCATGCCCATCCATTTATGAATTTTCAGTGGCTGCTTTGGAGCTTCAAAGGCAGAGTTGACTGGTTGCAACATAGACTAATTATCCTGCAAAACTTAAAATGTTTACTATCTGGCCCTTTGAGAAAAGTTTGCTGATCCCTGGAGTAAAATATTGTTTCTTTAGGTGACTTAACAATGAAGAATTGGTGTGTATTTGGGACCTTGTACAAAAACGTATAAACATATTATTGCTATAAGGGACATATAGGAACTGAGAGTAATCAAGGACATGGCATGTTCTCTAAATCACAGCCTTTTCTCAGGTGACTCTCATGGAATTCAAAAAATTCACTTAGTGGTGTACTTTGCTCCTTAAAAAAGTAATGCTTGATGTTAATAATTAGAAAGATCTTAGTAAATTCTCCTGCCCTAATGCTTTGTTTTTATTTTAGTTTGTTTTCAAGTCCTTAAGAAACATCATTTTTTGTCTGAGACGGTTTTTTTAAATATTGCTTACGTCTTTGATAATTTCTAAGAGTTTCCTATAAACAGAACTTATACTTAAATGTTAAATTGTGTATATAAGAAACAGTAAGTATATATTAAGATTTCACTGATACCTGTTATTTTTGAAATTTACAACATACAATTTTATGAGTTGTTAGTATTGTTTTGACTCCCAGGGATTGTATACACTTAAAGTGTTTGCCTTTTTCAAATTCAGAATTTATAAAACCATTGTAGTTTTCAGGATTTTAGTTTTATTCTTGGTGGTTAAATTATTTTATATACTGTGTTTTTAACTTTAATAATAATAACTATTATTTTGATCACAAACACTGATCTTTTCTCTGCTATAATCATTTCATAAAAGCAGTGACATCATTTCAAGCTTTAATGTGTAGTACACATTAACCAATATTCCAAATAAACTGTTGAAGAAAGAAAAATATCAGTGTGATTTCTCCTCCCAGATATTTAAACATAAAAATTATGCTCTTAAGAATTTGGATTTCCAAAAATTTCCTTTAGTTAACAAAAGCTGTATAGACATTATGTTATATATATAATTTTAAAAATATTTGTGTTTTTAAAACAGTATATTTCATATCATCTGGAGTGAAAATGGTATCAGTCTAAGTAAATTCTTTTTTCTCTTATTTGTGGAGGTAAATAGTTGTCTCAACAATGGAAATTATTCAGTTCATCCACATTCCTACACCTCATTCAAAGGACTAGCTTTTTTGATTGGAGCAAACTTAACATTTAGCTGATTTACATGTAAAATAAGTTATGTAAAAATAACATTGCACTTTATGAAAATCTTGGCATACTTAATTTTTTGCTATTGAGTTGGCTGCCAAAATGCTCACGTATAAACAAGGAACCTTTTGGTAGCTGTGGGGCCTTTCACTTGGAAGGGTCTCCGCCTAGAAAATGAAGTTGCCTCCATCTGTGACACGCTTCTCTAGATTTTAAGGCATGTCTTATCAGTACCAGAAAATAACCGACTGATTCACAGATGAACCTGTGATGACCAACAACATTCTGAAAATGCAGATATCAGACTAATTTGTTGTTGTTGTTGTTGTTGTTCAGGTACAGTCATCTACATTAAGAAACCCCCCACCGTTCCCTGCCCACCCAAGCCGTCTCCATCGCCTTGTCCTGATTCCACCTCCTCTTGGTTTTGTCCAGGTGTCCTTTATAGTTGTTCTGAAAGTCCTTCCCCCTTTCCCTTCATTATCTTCTCCTACCTCCTCTCTGGTTACTCTCAGATTGTTGTTCATTTCATTGTCTCTGGTTATATTTTGCTTACTTGTTTGTTTTGTTAAATTTTGAATCGCAACTTTCTTTGTACTGTAGAATTCCAGAGAGCTTTTTAAACTTTCTGTGCCCAGTTTTAGTTGTAAGTGGCACCTAGCTTGTAGGTTGTTAAGAGGAGAAAAAAGATAAAGTACCTCTAAAATAGTCAGGGTTGTAGAAAACTATCTTTAAAAGGCAGCTTTCAGTCATTCAGCTTACTTAGTAAATTTAACGTTTAGATTTCCTGTCTTGCCATTATGAAAGGCCTTTGAGGGCTTTCACAAGGCCCCAACTTTATTATATCCACTGCATGGTGGTCTGTCAACTCTTTTCGTTACCTGTTACTTCAACTGTCGATTTAAAAGGCTTTCTATTAACTACTGATGTGGACTTAGTGACTGAAAATGTATTGTTTTATTGCTTTGGGAAACTCTTGAGCAGAAGAATGTTTCAGTCTGGGAATCCACAGAGACTGTATTTCGGTGTTACTCATTTCCTTCATAATTGTATGTATTTTATGCATTAAAGATCAGTATTCCAGGAAGGAGCCCCTGAATATCATAAAGCAGTGATTGAATGGCAAGAGAAGTCGTGTATGTCAGATAACCCAGAACACTCAAGTCCCACTAGAAGTGGCTGACTCAAGAGAGAAGACTGCTTTTCAAAAAAACTAAAGGCAACTTCAAAAAAATTGAATAGTACTAACCTTGATTTTAGCTTCTTCATTCCTCTAGATTTGCTAGGAAAAAAATTGGCCATCACTCAGACAGGGGCAGCCATGTATGTTTGGAAAGAACATAAGTAGTAAAATCACCATTGTTTAATTTTCCCAAGTGGAAATAATATGCACATTACTGGGTTGTGGAAGGATTAAAGGAAAGAAACTGTGGACAACATGTATACACAATGTCTGCTGCACTATTGGTACTATACAGGTTTTAGTTTCTTATAGTGAAAATCCAAAATGAACCTTAATTGAATTTAGCATTTGGTAGAGGTACAGTAGAGAGCTGAGGAGTGTTGTGGAATTGAGAAATGTGGTTACCCCCCGCCCCCCATCAGAATTGGGTAGGTTGTTTTTATTCAATGGGGAAACTTTCCTAAACAGACTTTTTTGGTTTAAAGAAAAGTAGGTTTTAGAATTCAGTTGAAGAAACAGTGTTAGAGGAAAGTATAGACTGGGGAGTGGGAAGATTGAATTCAGAGTTTAGACTTGGTAGAGGGAAATGACCGAAGGGGAGTATACACAGCACTGAGCTCATGCTTTTCCTTAAGTTATGTGTTTTCAGAGCAGTGGAATTTTTCATCAGAGATAAATATGAAAAGAAGAAATACTATGATAAAAATGCGATAGCTGTTACAAATGTAAGTAAAATCTTCTCTCTCACCAATTTAAGTGTAATAGATCTTGGACTTTTAACATACAATACAGTTTATTAATTGTAAAAATATTAGAGTTACATACTTTATAAAACTCGAATATTGGATTTTTGTCACATATGTTAATGAGCTCCCTTGAAGCAGAGCTTTTTATTTTATTTTTTTCAGATTTTCTTTATTTATTTTTAGAGAGGGAGGAAGGGAATGAAAGAAACATCAGCATGTGAGAGAAACATTGATAGGTTGCCTATTGCATTCCCCCAAGAGAGGGCCTGGCCCGTAGCCTAGGCATGCACTCTGACAGGGAATCCGGCCAGCCAACTTTTGGCTTGGGGGATGAAGATAAACCCACTGAGCCACACCAGCCAAGGCCTGAAGCAGAATTCTTGATTTAGAAAGAAGCATGTTCTGAGTCTAATAACTGCCAAAATGGCATTTAATTAAGTTAATTTTATGATATTTATAAGAGATAAAGCCACTACTAGGCAAAAGGAGAAAATTATTTTACTCCACTCTGGGGAATTTATAAAAAAATAAAGAAGGCAAATTTATCCTCCCCTCAGGGAGGACTTTGATGGATCTACTAATTGGTTATTATTAAGCCTTTTGATAACTTATATTATCAAGCCTCTTGAAACCTTACTGTAGTGATCAAATGTTATATCACTGTTTTTAAAATTTTTATTATATTTTCCCAAATAAGTTAATTACAATTTAAGATTAATTGTTTTTTATTGGTAAAGTCATTATTTTGACCATTGATTTCTTGATTCATAAGCAAGGTATGTATAAGTAAGTTAATATTGTGGTTAAGCAATTTATAAACGATAATTTTATCTCATTTTATATGCAAGCTGGCTTTTTTCAGTCAATATGAAGAAGCAATATACTAAAAAAATTGATCAATACTAACAAAAAGTAGGGATGTTTTAGTATATTGTCTTTGACCATGAAAAAAACCTTATTAAAAAATTTAACATAGTATTATGCATAATTTGGAGTGAAGATACCCTGTGTGTGTAGTGTTTGGGCTGCATTTACAATGAATAATGAATGTAAGAGAAAATCTTTTGAAAGATTGATAAAAATGGACAGTGTTGAGAATGATATTTAGAATATCCATAAAACAAAGTTTAGTTACTACATTATGGGGAAAAAAGGACTGACTTTAAAATATAAGCAATGTATTTTTATACAAAACTTTTAAGAAGCCTTTTTAGTATATTTTACAAAATATACTGCTTTCCATTAAACATCCTTTTTAATATCCTAAAATTTTTAAACTTTTTAAGTTGAATTTATTGGGGTGACATTGGTTAATAAAATAATACAGGTTTCAGGTGCGCCGTTCTCTAATACATCATCTGTGTGTTTTGTTGTGTTTACCGACCCAAGTCAGTTTTCCTATTACCATTTATATCCCCTAAACCCTCTTCAGTGTCTCTGCACCCCCTAAACATTTTTTATTATATCTGTATTTATGGTTTTTTTCTTCATGGCAACAATTTAGAGATTATTTTTATGAGTAATATACATAAAACAGTTTTATCTTTCAGTAATAGTTTTTGTTAAGAAATTATTTCCCCCCCTCAGGTATGATAGTAGTAATTAGTATATGTAGTTAAGGGAAATTCTTCACTCACAAAAGATGTGTTCTGGAATAAAATGTTTAGAGATCAACTGTCATGATATCTATAACTCATTTTTATTTTTTCTATTAACGACATTTAATATAGAAATTAAGTTATACAAACACATCTAAAATAACCTAGCATAAAAAATATATATTAATGTGGAAATACTGCTTCCTCCCACTCTCATGTTTATTGCAGTAACTTTATTCAAAATCTTTACATGCATCTTTAATATCAGTGTCTTGTCATCACTAGAACCATTTTTTTGAGTTACCTAAGTTTTTAAAATTAAAAATACTGTAAAATTATGGTTGATATACTAGTTTTAGGTGTACAACATAATGATTAGACACAGAACTTACAAAGTGATTACTCTGGTAAATTGAGTACCCGTGTGACAAAATACATATCGTTATTGCAGTATTGCTGACTGTATTCTCGATGCTGTACTTCACATTCCTATGACTCTTTTTGTAACTGGCATTTTGTATTTCTTAGTTTCTTTCTGTTTTTTACTCATTTCTCAATCTCCCTACTACCTTGTAGCCATCAGTATGTTCTCTTTATCCATGTATAAATTCATTTTTAATTTCTTTAAAATTTTTTTCCCTGAGGAGTCATGAGGATGTTTCATTGGTTTTGGTTGGAATGTTTTAAAGATTGTTTCGTGTGTGTGTGTATACACACACACACACACACACACATATGTTATTTTTTAAATTTTTATTTAACTTATTTATCTTTAGAGGGGAAGGGAAGGAGAGAGGGAGAGAAATATCAATGTATGGTCGCCTCTCGTGCGTCCCCTGCTGGGAACTGGCCTGCAACCCAGGCATGTGCCCTGACTGGGAATTGAACTGCTATTCTTTGGTTCACAGGCCTATGCTCAATCCACTGAGCTACACCAGCCAGGGCGTATATAAGTTATTAATGTGGGGCAGGGGCAAGGTGCATACATCACAGAGTGGGGGCTCACACAACAGGGACTGGGGAGGGGCAGGGGCTGCACACAGTACTACGCAAAAACAGCCATATCTAACGGGGTAATGAAATAATGAAATAATCACACTGGGTCCCAGCTGGGAAGCGTATCCGGGTAAGATGAGACCCTGAGGCCAGGAGGTCAAAGAGACGGGGCTCTGAGGCAGAGGCTGCGTGGGTGGCATCCTACTGGTGGTGGTACAGGTGAGAGTGGATGTGAGAGTGCTGGTGGTGATGGGGGTTGCATTGAGCATCTGCAGCTGGGCAGTGGGTCATTGCCCAGGGCTGCCACCTTTCTTTATGCTGCCTCTCAGCTGCCAGATGCTCTACATAGGACATGTCAGGGCACAGAGCTGGCCCAGTGGCCAGCGCCAGACATTCCCTCCGGAGTGGCCCCGTGCTCAGATGAAAGGAGAAAAGGTGCAGGCCAGCTCGGCCAGGCTGCAGAACCAGGCCCCCATGTTGGGGAAAGGGATCCAGGCCTGGCCCAGGAACCCTGTACAGTGGTTCCAGCTCACTGGGTTTCACCTTGAAGTCAGGCTTGAGGCTGTCACGGAGGATTCCTTCAGGGGTTCCCACTGCCTCTCCCAGAATGCTGGGTCACTTCCATGCATGGCTGGGACATTGTAACCTAGGAGTCCTTGGTCCATTGCCCCCTGAGGCATGTAGAACAGATGGTTGCAATTGCCAGGATATGTGGCGTGGGGCTGGGCATGTTCACTGAGAGTACACAGGGCTGGAGTGTCAGGACCCAGGTAGGGGGCACCATAGCCACAGCACTGCCCAGCTCAAATGGAGGGCAGTGGGGCCCAGGGCTGAGAGATGGACATTCCACTGGAGCATGTCCCTCCTGAGCCAACTTAACACTCTGTTACAGCTTGCGCTCCTTGTGCTTCTGCTCCTTTTCTTCTTGTACACTGCTCGGCCCTATGTATAACCCATTTTTAAGTAGTTCAGTGAATCCTGGCAGTTCTGTGTGTGTAGCCTAAACAAATGTGGCACACTGTTAAGGTTTAGTGAGTATTAGTGACACAGATATTTTGTAATTTTTTACATGATTTTGTAGGTTTGAAAATAAAATGTTTAAGGTAAAACATTGTATACTCTTGAGTTTATATTGCTAACATAATGAAAATTCAGAAAAGTTCACAAAAATCACATTCAACCCACAGGAAAATATACTTTACCTATTCATGTATAAGCAAGGTCTTGATTCTTTAAAAGTTTATATTCCAGTAATTTTAAAGTATTTCTTCCTTTATTGTGGCAGTCAGTGTGCAAGTTATTAATCCTATATATTATTAAGAATTACATTATTTATTTATATTCTGTATTTTGTCTTTAGTAATAGATTGAACATTCATTCAAATAATTTTTTATTATTTATTGGTCACAGTGTCCTAGGATACTGAAATAAAGAGGACATGACCTTTGCTTTCAGAGAGATTTAATTTCATAGTGGGGATGAGACCAGGTTAAAAAAATAAATATGAGACAGAATATAAGTATTCTGTTAACAGTGGTATCCAACCTTTTGGCTTCTGGCCCACACTGGAAGAAGAGTCGTCTTGGGCCACACAGTGAATGCATTGCAACACATAATTACAAAAAATATCCCATGGTGTTTTAAGTAAATTTATGATTTGTGCTGGGTCACATTGACAGCCATCCTGGGCTGCTGCAAGTTGGACCCTCCTGAATTTCTTACATTTTAGATACTTCAGGAGTAGTAGGACACTTAAGGGGATCTCTAAGGAGGGGCAATTTGAATATTAGTTGTAGTCTGATGAAGAGATTACCTGAATGGCTATGAAGCTTTATATGACTGTTACCCCTACATTAAATGACTTGAAATTGCTTTACCTTTATAGTTTTTATGTATGATTTTACATATTTTCTATCTCCTCTTAATTTAGCTGTCATTTTTTAGTGATGCCAGTAAGAAAATAGTTCTTACTATTTTCTTATTTTAAATAAGAGTAAGGGCATAAAGGTGACCCTGCTCCCTCTCTGTGGAAGACAGTAATTTTTTAATCCTTTAAAAAAACTGATAAATTTCTTGCCCTTCTGAACATAAACATTTCAGAATATTGTGGCAAAATACAAAAAAAGTACCATAAACTGTAGCAGAGTGGTGGCAAAGAGTTTGCTGATTTTCCTAAAATATTCCCTCCTGCCTCCCAGGCTATTTAATGTGTTTATGAGCTAAGCCTTACATGAACCCATCATGTAGAGTATAAAAGGAGCTAGAGTGGTACTTCCTTTTTTCTCTAGGTACTTGTTTGACTGGTGAGGAGTGGCTTCAGAGAACTGTTAATAAACATGGTGTGTGGTCATATAAACATTATACGTTTGAGAAAGTAGGAGACTTATATGAGGGGTGAAGGCCCAAAAAACAAGAATTGTCTTCTGGAGGGCGGGTCACTTGTAGTACAGGCTTCTCTGTTAGGTGAGTATTCTAGGAACCCATCTGTGTCAGAGTTACCAGCTGGTGTTGTGAGAGGCTGCATTTGGCTTCAGTGAATTTGTTTTTGAAGACTCTTTCAATGCATTTGCCCTTTTCATGTGGATGATGTGAATAATGTGTGACAGTAATTTTCTTACTTGTTGGGGAAAAAATGCAGCAGAAAATGTTGTTATGCTACAGACAGCTTACAAAGAAGCTGCTCTGAGTAAAACACAAGTTTATGATTGGTTTTCTTGTGTTAAACGAGGCAAAATCTCAATTGACAATCGGCCTCATTCTGAGTGTCCCTCAACCAGCTGAACTATGGAAAATGTGGTAATAATCCATCAAGCCATCTTGGAAGACCACTGTCCAGACTATTGATGAACTTGTGGAGTTGACTGGGGTGTTGTTGAGTTGTCAGCAAATTTTATCTAAAGTTTTGGGCATGAAGTAAGTTTCAGCAAAAATTCATGCCTCACTTGCTCACACCTTAACAAAGAGATAAATTGCTTGACTATATTGCCATGCTTTTTTTAAAAATACTAATTTTATTTTTTTAAAGTTATACATTTGATTTCTATACAACCCAGAAATGTATTTATTTATTTTTTAGAGGGAGAAAGAAGAAGAGATACATCAGTGTGTGGTTGGCTCTCAAGGGCCCCCTACTGGGGACCTGGCCTGCAACCCAGGCATGAGCCCTTACTGGGAATTGAACTGGTGACCCTTTGTTTTGCAGGCTGGTGCTCAATCCATTGACCACACCAGCCAGGGCTACATGCTCTGCTTTGAAGGGCACTTGGAAGCTGACCCTGATTTTTTTCCCCAAGTAATAACCAGAGATGAATCTTGGTGCTGTGGTCATGACCCCAAAACAAAATAGCAATCTAGCCAATGGAAAATTGTCACTTCCCCATTACCCCAAAAAGCATGACAAGTGAAGTCAAACATGAAAAAAATCATCTGTTTCTTTGACGTGATAAGGTTGTGCACTTGGAATTTGTTTCTCTGGATGAAATGGTCAACCAAAGTTTTTATCTGGAAGTTTTGAGAGGGTTGTGTCATGATTTGCAGAAGAAATGCCCTGTGTTGTGGCAGACAGGTCATTGGTTCTTCCACCACGACAACGTACCTGCCCACACTGCGCTGAGTGTTCAGCAGGTTTTGACCACAAACGGCATGACTGCCATGCCCCACTCTCTCTTTTCATCCAGTCTCATCCCAAGTCACTTTTTTTTGTTTACTTAATGAACAAAGTCCTCGATTGTAAATGTTTTGCCAACGTGGAAGAAAAAAAATGGCAGAAGCACTAAAAGGCACCAAAATTGACAAGTTCAAAAACTGTTTTGAGCAGTAGAAAAAAAAGTCTCAAGAAGGGTATTGCATCAAATGAGTACTTTGAAGGTGACTGAAGTTTAAGCATGTAAAAATAAATACTCAAGTTTTTATAAATAAATTCCACGGGTTTTTTTGGTCCCCCCTTGGTATGTACTGCTTTTATGGAAGGTGTTTGTGGTTTAGGCCGTATGATTTTGAGTGTTGTGTAGCACTATAACCGTGAATTAAGGGAGAAGGCTTAAAAGGGAAAAGTGATATAGACAAAAACAAAGGGAAATATATTCCAAGTAAAAAGGTTTTTCTAGAATTTTTACTGGTTTGTAATCTCAAACAAAAAAATTACTTGCATCTTTTACAGTAATTGCATAGCGCTGGTCACCAGTGTGGGCATATCAGTCTTCATTCATATCAGTCCTCACTACTTTCCTCCCTTGCTCTTGAGATTTGGGCTAGCAGCATCTCATGCTGAAACTAGATGCAGGGTGATAGAAATTGGTTTTTGAAGTTTCCTTGGATTGATTGTTTCTTCCCTTTTTTGTTCATTTAGTCATCTGTAGCATACATTATTGAATGTATACCATATGCAAGGCACTGAGCTTGAAATGGTATAATCTCTTTCCAAAAGTAATTTACTAAACATCAACGTGTAAATATACAGTGGGCAGAATGTGGTAATTGTTATGACAGAAGAATAAAAGTGTTATAAGAACACAGAATTTAGGTAGCACTAGTTAATTTCCACTAGGAGAATATTTAAAGGAGGTATGTTTAAGATTACCTTTAATTGAAAAGTAAGATTTTAGAGAAACTTGGATGAGTGTCAATAATACAGAAAAGACATTTTTGGCTGAAGGGACATTTTATCCCATCTCTGCTAAAGACACATAAAGAGGAAAGAGAGTTCAGGTGTATTATTTGGTAGCTGGTTTTGGTGAGTAGTCCACAAGACTGTCTTGTCTACTGAGTGTGAAGGAGGAATATTTGGGGAGGGTAAATGAGAGAATAAATGTATGAGGAAATAAGTCTTGAAAGGCAAACAGGGATTATATAGAGGACTTGACGCCGGGTTTCTCAGGATTTTTTTTAAATTAAGAGATGGTCATTGGATTAATTTCCTTTTGCCACTTAATAAATTTCTGGAAACTTAAAACAACACAGGTTTACCATCTTGCATTCTGTTGGTCAAGAGTCTGGGCATCGGTGACCTGAGTTCTCAGCTGTGGATATCCCCAGACTGAAATCAATGAGTTGGCCAGGTGCAGCCTTATCTGAGGGTCAGTGTCTTCTTCCAAGCTCATGATTGTGGTCAGAATTCATTTTCTTGTGGCTGTATGACTGAGGTCCTGTGTTCCTGCTAACTGTCAGATAGGGACTGCTCTCAGTTCTTTGCAGCCAGCCTCAGGTCCCATTGATGTGAGAAACATCAGTCAGTTGTCTCCCATACACTGTCTGACCAGGGATCAAACCTGTGACTAAGGTGTGTGTTCTGACCAGGAATTGAACCTGTAGCCTTTTGGTATACAGGGTTAACACTCTAACACACTGAGCCCCCTGACCAGGGCTGTATTATCTTGAATTAGTAATTCTTGACATACTAAATGCTCCTATTCCTCTTATATTTCTATGTTCAGCTTTACATGAGTTTGTGCAAAAAGGGATTTATGATACAGGTTATCATCTTAAGTAATTTTATATGTTTTTCTCTTTTTTTAATCTCTTATTTCTACATAAAGTACCAATTAAAAGATCTTTTGCAAGTAAATGTCCAGTAGGATAAACCAGCTTTGAAGCCATGTTTTGAGAGGCTGTTTGACTTCTTAAATATTTTCTTGTATGTGTAATTTCCAGTAGTAGTCACTAAATGATTAGTTTGCACAGTTATAACAGCCAACAAATAATGTGCAAGGCAAAAAGCCCCCTAAGTTTATAGTCTCAGACTGTGATTCAAGAATTACAGCCATAACTAACTTAACAAGCAGTTGGAAGGAGGACTTGTCATTTCACAGTGTTATTTTGACATTCCATAATGACCTTTCTGTAATAGTACCTTTTATTTTTAAAAATTCCTCATAGGCACTATTGATATGATAGGGCAATATAGAGATGTCAGTTTTATGGCTCCAAAGAGGTATGAATTTAGTTCTAAATGTCTTTCAGTTACATTTTGTCAGTAAAGAGAGCAGGAAGATAATGCTTCCATTAAAGTGATCAACTACATATGTAGAAATTGAGTAGGAAGAGGTGTGAAAAGGCTTTTAGATGAAATCCTTTTTCATTTATAAATTGCCTCTGCTGTGTATATAACTCTGATACTACTTTGGGGTAATTCAGCAAGTACAGCACTGGAAATGGTGTTTGTAAGTACCGATCATAAAGAAGGAAGTGTATAAATTGTTTTATAAGTCTGCTGCTTTGCTGTTACATTGCATTAATCAACTTTTTTCTCCAAGACTTTTTTCTGTTTTCTTAAACAGTTGATTAAAATTTTAATTTTCCCTACTTCAGCTCTGTTTTATTTTACATTCTTAAAACAGTTAATATAAGTAAAAAACCAAAACAACCCAGAAATTCATTTGTGTTCTCCTTCTACTTGGGACAATGTCTCATGTATTAGTATTTCAGTAGTAACAATGACTAAAAGTGAGTCACTGGAGAAAGCTTAATTATTTTTTAAAAAGACAAGGTATGACCTTGTCTTAGTACATATTAAATTTTATATCTTAGTGAAATCCATTTTAGATCATATGCTAGTCTGTAATAAATGTTTTATTTTTCAAAATTTTATGTGGAAAATTTTAAAAAGCAATGCATACTTCTTGATGCATTATTTTCCTTTGTTAACACATCTCTGAGTACTTCTATATCTCAGATATTCTTGGGTTTTGTTTCCTTCCTGTACCTGTCAGTTCTGATTACGTTCTTTCTGTTTTTTCCTCCTGATTTTTCACCTTCATTCCACAGATTTCTTCCTCTGATGTTCCCCTTCAGCCTTTGGTAGCCTCTCCTTCTCTACAAGCTGCTGTTGAGAAAAACAAATTGGAGGTATGGTAGTGTTTTAGCCAGCTGCATTATGTAGTGTTTGCAGTATACCATAATTTGGAGTGCTATAATAGTTGTTCAAATTTTGAATGGTCTCCAGCATTAAATGTGTTATATACGACAATTTCTAGAATGTTTCCCTGTGCCACAGGTAGGATTAAAGTGCTTTAATCTATATTAATTGCAGAGTGACTGCTTTATTGGTACTGTAGGTATATCTCAATATTTAAGAGGCTTTTAGCTTTTTGTTGTTTCCATTACTGCCTTATGCTTTTCCTTTACAGGAACTTTTTTTATAGTTGCTGTTGAATTCTTTGACCTATTAGTAAAATCTGATTAAAATGTTTTCTTTCTAAGACTCTGTTGTCATAATCACTTGAAGAAAGTTAATTTTTTAAGCACTAGTAACAGTCATATAGGTACAGTGTATATAATACAGAATCATGAGTTTAGAATCATCAGTGATAATTTTTAGACTGTGTTTGGGGTAGGGGTTGTTAAAGGTACATGATACTACCATTATAGATTTTTTAGCCATCCCTACACATACTTGAAGATTTTAATTTTTTTACTCTTTCCTTTTTTTTTTAATCATGACCCTAATGAATTAGTTTGAGACATTGTTGGAACTAGTACTTTTTGCGTGTCTGCCTCTTGATAAACAGTGCGCTAGACATGAGGGCTACAGAAACAAATAAGATACGGCCCCACTTCTCAAGGAACTTTTTAGTCTAATGGAGAAAAACAGATAACTAGGTACCTTTACAGGTCCTAATGCAATATAATGTATACAGTGATCAACATGTATTCACTGTCCTGCTATTAATAACAGGAGACATACTTTTGATGCATCTTAAATTCTTTTTAAAAATCATTTATTTATTGTTCAATTATAGTTATCCCACCTTTTTCCCCATTGCTCACCCCTACCCCCTCACCCGGCACCCCCACAGTCATTCCCCATTCCCCATTGTCCATGTCCATGAGTCCTCAGTTCATCTTCCTTGGCTTGCCCCTTCCCCTCCTTCTTCCATTATCACCCCCCACCCCCACTCTGGTCACTGTCCATTTGTTCTTTATTTCCATGTCTCATATCATGTTTCACTCATTTGCTTTGTTAATTTCCACTTAGAGGTGAGATCATATGGTATTTGTCTTACCACCTGGCTTATTTCACTTACCACGATATTCTCTAGTTCCATCCATGTTGTTGCAAAGGGTAGGAGTTTCTTCTGTCTTTCTGCTGTGTAGTATTATTTTGTATAAATGTACCAGTTTTTTTATACAATCATTTACTGATGGGCACTTAGGCTGTTTCCAGCACTTGGCTATTGTAAATGACACTGCTATGAACATTGGGGTGCATAGGTTCTCTTGAGTTGATGATTCAGGATTTTTAGGGTATAGTTGCAGCTATGAGATGACTGGATCGAAAGACAATTTCATTTTTAGTTTTTTGAGGAAATACCATATTGTCCACAGTGGCTGCCCCATCCTGCATTTTCATCAGTAATGTACTAGGGTTCCTTTTCTCCACAGTCTCACCAGCACTTGTTGTTTGTTGATGGCCTTCCTGACCAATGTAAAGTGGTATCTCACTGTGGGTTTAATTTGTATCTCTCTGATGGCTAGTGATGCTGGGAATTTTTTTGTGTACCTGTGGGCCCTCTGTATGTCCTCCTTGGAGAAGTATTTGTTCTGGTCCTTTGCCCGTTTTTAAAAAGACTTTATTTATTTATTTTAGAAAGAGGGGAAGGGAGGGAGAGAAACATTAATGTGTGGTTGCCTTTCAGGTGGCCCTCACTAAGGACTTGGCCTGCAACCCAGGCATGTGCCCTGACTGGGAATTGAACCAGTGACCCTTTGGTTCCCAGCCCATGCTCAATCCACTGAGCTACACCAGCCAGGCCCTTTGGTCATTTTTTAAACTTTTTTTTTTTTTAGTTTTATTTATTTATCTTTAGAGGGGAAGGGAAGGAGAGAGGGAGAGAGAAATATTAATGTATGGTTGCCTCTCATGCATCCCCTGCTGGGAACTGGCCTGCAACCCAGGCATGTGCTCTGACTGGGAATCAAACTGTGATCCTTTGGTTTGCAGGCCCACACTCAATCCACTGAGCTACACCAGCCAGGGTCCATTTTTTAATTGAATAGTTTGTCTTCTGGACAAACTGGAGTCACGTGAGCTCTTAATGTATTTTGGAGCTCAAACTCTTGTCTGAGTTGTCATTGGCAAATATGTTTTTGCATATGTTTGGTTCCCTTTCCTTTTTGTTAATGTTTTCTCTGGCCATGCAGAAGCTTTTTATTTTGATAAAGTCCCATTTGTTTATTCTTTCTTTTATGTCCCTTACCCTAGGGGATATATCAGTGAAAATACTGCTGCCTGGGATATCCAAAATTTTCTTGACTATGTTCTCCTCTAGGACTTTTGTGGCGTCACAAGTTATATTTAAGTCTTTTATCCATCTCTAGTTTATTTTGGTGTATGTATAAGTTAGTGGTCGAGTTTAATTTTTTTTTTTGCATGTACTCGTTCAGATCTCCCAATACCATTTGTTGAAGAGGCTATTTTTATTCCATTTTATGTTTCTGCCCCTTTTGTCAAATATTAGCTGACCATATTGACATGGATTTATTTCTGGGCTCTCTATTCTGTTCCATTGGTCTATGCGGCTGTTCTGATGCCAGTACCAGATTGTGCTGATTACTGTGTCCTTGTAATGTAGTTTGATAACAGGTATTGTGATCCCCCCTACTTTGTTCTTTCTCAGAATGGCTGAGGCTATTCAGGGTCGTTTGTGGCTCCATATAAATTTTTGAAATATTTGTTCTATATCTGTGAAATATCTCATTGGTATTTTGATAGGGATTGCATTGAATCTGTAAATTGCTTTGGGCAGTGTGGATATTTTAATTATGTTAATTCTTCCAATCTATGAACACAGTATATGCTTTTATTTGTGTTTTCCTTAATTTCTTTCTTCAGTGTTGTGTAGTTTTCTGACACAGCTCTTTCACTTCTTGGTTAAGTTTAGTCCTAAGTATTTTATTTTTCTTGTTGTTGTAGTAAATGGGATTTTCCCCCTAATTTCTGACATTTCATTGTTGGTGTACAGAAATGTGTTTAGTTTCTGACTGTTAGCTTTGATGCATCTTAAACTCTTAATAAACATTAGCTATAAGAATAAGAGTACACTCCAAGTAGAGAAAGCATCTTGTGGAAAACAAAGACCTGTGGGCAAAGTGGAATGTTTGGGGATTTGCAAGTAGAGTGGCATAGCTGGAACACGCATAGGAGAGGGACAGAGGTGGGAGAGGAGCCTTCTAGTTAGCCTGCTGAAGGAAACTGGTACTCATTCTGAAGGCCCTGGCACTTTAATGATGCGTTTTAAGGGTAAGAGGGGTAGCAGGATTTTATTTTCATGTCATAACATGGCTCCACTGTCTGTGGAAAGTGAATTTTGTACTGATGGGTGTCAAAATGGCTTGAGAACCTATTCTTGTAATTCATGAATAAAGTGATGGGAGCTTGTGCTAAAATGGAGGCAGAGGGGATGAAAAACAGAGTGGAGTTTTAAAGATTGTGAGAAGATAGAATCTGTGGCACTTAGTAATCAGTGGAATATTGATGCGCTTTGGGAAGATTTGATGATTCCCATTTTCTAGCTTGAGCATTTCAGTAGATGATGGTGATATTGAGTGAGAAAAGGATAGAAACTGAGGAGGAAGAACAGATTTGAGGAGAGGAAGTAAGGGAGATGAATTAAAAGTTTTATCTGTTAAGTATGAGGTGACCATGGAACATCCAGGTGTCTAATAGGTGGGTGCCAGGTCTTACAGTCTAGAGGAAAGGTCTGTGTTGGGAGGGAAAGGGTGAGGGAGGGAAAAACATTTCATATTATATACAAATTTCTGCAAATCTCATTTATTTTTCTTATAAAGTGGTAGTAATATTATTCACCTCATAAAGTTGTTAGGATTAAATCGGTGAAGTCAGTGTCTGGCGTATAGTCAGGGGATCAGTAAATGTCAGTTTTTGTAAAGAAGAACAGTACCAAATGGTAGTGCTCTACCATTTGGATGATGGTGAGCAGTGAGATTTTAGAGTGTGGCCTCTGTTGTCCCATGGCCCTTCCATTGATTAGCTTTGTCATTGTGTGCCTTACTTTCCTAAGATTTTGTTTCTTCATTCATAAAATGACAATAATCATAGCTTTTTCCAGACAGTTAGTCTAAAAATAAAATTAGAAAATAGGTGTTTATCACACTACCTGGCCCATAGGAACTTTTATTGTATCTTTTATGTTATAGTCTAGGAATTGCCAGTATTATCTTTTCTGATTTACAAATAGTAAAAATTCTACCCTTGAAAGAGATTGTGTCAAACACCCATTTTAAAGGCACAGGTGCCAACACAACCTTTAGGCATTTAGATTAAGCTAAGTATGATGGCTATTCTGCATTTCCTAGGTTCATCAGTGTATATTTTCGTGTTACTCTCAGGAAACTAAGGTCAGATCAGTACTCATTTGCAGTAGTCATTCAGTTGTATGTTTATACTCATCTCTTCCCTCTTAATGCCTTATGAATAATGTTCTTAATTTAATTTTTATTTCTTTTTTTAGGATTTTTAAGTAGATTTTTGGGGTGATACTGGTTAATAAGATTATATAGGTTTCAAGTGTACAGTTTAATGATACATCATCTGTATATTGCACTGTGTGTCCATTGCCTAAAGTCAAATCTTCCATTTCTACAATGTTTGACCGCCTTTTCACCACTTCATGGCACCCCCTCTACCCTCTGCCTCTCTCCCGCCCTCTGGTAACTACTACCCTATTGCTGTGTCTATGAATTTTTGTTTGTTTGTTTTTCTTGTTTGTTTATTTATTGCTTTCATTCTTATATCTGATATATGAGTGAAATAATGTGGTTATTTTTCTGTCTGACTTATTTCACTTAACATGATATTCTCAAGGTTTATCCAAGTTAATCTTTATTTCATTTTCCTCTTTTTGGCAAGTTTGTGACTGTAAGTATTAAATATTATATCCTGTTTCATCCTTCTTGAAAACGCAGATTGTGAACATCATAATACCATTATAGTTTACCTTGATTGTTGAATTACACTAGTAAGTTGGCTCTGGTTCTAAAGCATTATATTTAACTTTTTTTTCATGAGCATATAATCGTATTTTCCATTTTTAAAATCAACAGTATGGTAAGAAACTGAAAATATTTTGTGATATTTTTAAAAATTAAAGTGATTATACTGTACCCTTTCTGTCTTATGTTTACATGTTCTAATCTGCCTTTATTTGTGTGATAAGAATTGTGTGCCATCAGTTACTTTACTTTTTCTTCTTAGTCACATTTCAGCTTTATGGTTGCTATTAGGAGGCTTAATCTTATGTAAAAATGCAGTGAGAATTTGAGTAAAGGTCTCATTTGTTTAATTATTCAAGCTCTAAAATATGAAAGAAGTTCTAAATTGTCTCTCCTCTGTTTTAGTTTTTTAGGAAGAGATATTATTTATTGTGTTATCAACATGTAACCTCAACGAGAGTATGAAATTGCTGTTTACATTTCTATTTCAGTATCACCAGATATTGTCATCATTGAAAATTTTTTTACCTTTCTCAAATGACAACTCAAACTAATAAACAAAAATGTGTTAAGAGCTGACATTTTTTAAAAAGTAAGCTTATCAAAACTTTGGGCTATGTTTTAGAAAGAAAAGGAAAAGAAAAAGGAAGAGAAAAAGAGAGAAAAAGAACAAGAAAAGCCTGCAAAACCTCTTACAACTGAAAAGGTAAAATTTCATTTTTTTAATCTATGAAGACTCATTTGTATACTTACATAAAAATGAGTTTTGGGATATTCATGATTGGCAAATTAAATCATTCTCTCAAAAGATATTTGTTGAGTGACTACTGTGTGCCAACCATGTTTAACAGCTTGCTCTGTGTGATTTGTAGTCAGTACGTATGTGTGGGTATAAATTACGTGAGTTCCTCTAAGACAAGTATCGGATTGGCAACCCATTTGTTTTTAGCTTTTGTTCCCCTATTTTTCCTTATACTCCACCAAAAAACAGAAACTCATGTGAAAGGACTTATACTTTGAAACCTAAATTTGTAGTGTCCTGGATGCATTAATGTGTGTTTTATCTGGTAATATTTGTTTTTAAAATTCTAAAAAAAATTTCTAAATGTACAAAAACTCTAAGGAGAGTTTTAAAGCTTATTTCTTATTTTACTTGAAGATTGTTTTTCTCACATTCTTTATCCCTTAATTCATCTGTTGTCATTGTTTTACTTAAAGCAATACAACCTAGCCAGAAAGTAAAAATGCAGTGAAGAGAAGAGAAGGTGTTTCTTCACTCACATGGAAAGCATCCATGTTCTAATTTTCAAGTGTCTAGCTGTATACGTAGTAAAGAACCCCTGGCCTTTTGATTCCTAGCTCTTTGGTTTTGCTGTCTGCCAGAAGATGGTCATTCTAGATAAACATCTCAGTCTTTTAAAGTTGTCTGTTGCCTAGGTTTATGGCCTCCTGTTACCAATCTGGTACTGCATTTAACATTATTGACTGTGGATCTGGAGAAATAGGTTGGGGCTCTCTTTTTTGATAACTATGATTAATAATCTTGAAGTATTGCTTCAAAAGTATCAAGAATGGTTTTTAGTCTGGGTTATGAAAAAACTCATCATTTCATGATACTTTATGGCGTGAACATGCTTAGAATTGAGGGGGACATTGATTATAGTTAATATTAATAACCTTATAGAGACTGCTGTGCAGTCTTTGTTTTTTTCCCCTTCCGTGCACAGTACTCCAAATCATCATTTGAAGCTTTTTTTTCTTAGCTTCATAGGCTGAATAGCTTTGATCTGATGTTACTACGAGTCTGCAAAAGTGCACTGTGTGTTATATCCTGTTGCTTCAGTTCACCTGAATTCAGGTCCCTTACATATGCAGTCTGATTTCTTATTCCCTAAGCACACTGAGCCCTCCTTTATTGTATAAAGCATGCTATAGGTCTTGAGTGGGTGTTGCACTTCTAGCTGCTGTGATGTTCTGTGTGATTTAAGTGTGTATGGCTCATAAAAGTAACCTTAAGAGGGATTTGTTTTGACCATTTGTTTTCAAGTAGATTAAATGCTACTACCATTTTCCATCCAGGGGAGTATGTGCATGTGTGTGTGCACGTGCACTATTTGGAGAGCTATACTGAAAGATTTCTGGGAGGAAATACTTGGATTGAATATAGCAACTATTAGGATGCCTGCAGTGTAGAAGGCACACTAAGTGGCTGGAAGAAATAAAAAAATAATAAAGAGAGATATCCTCAAGAATCTTAAAATTCAGAAAGAATTTTCTGTGATGAAATTTTCAAGTGATTGAAAGCAGAAGACATGAAAAATAACCACAGCAAAAAACTGATACAGTACAGCAGGAGAGGTTACAGAGTGTGGAGATTTGGTGACATGAGAGATCACATGTTGGGAGTATTAGGGAAGTCTTCATGGAGGTGGTTACATTTGATATGAGCTGTGAAAGATTGTTAGGGACGTGGAGGAGAGGGCAATGGGCAGAGGAGATAACATGAAAAATGACTGGAATTTTAAGGCATATTTTGGCAATAATGAATAACCTAATATAACTAGAGTATAGGACAATAATGGAATATAAGACAATAAAATTAATTTTGAGGAAATCTTATGTTTCATGGTAAACAGTGGATTGCTTCTGATTTTGAGTACAGAGGAAGAGTTATGAACTATATAAATTCAAGCAAGAGATAATTGAGGCTTGATGTAGAGTGCTTTCTGAAAAATAGATTAGCCAACATCTGATTCTCTTAGAAGAATGATGGAAAGACTTTGTCTTAATGCATTTTACTTTGCTTTTTAACAGATAGCCTTGTCAGACTCCAAGGAACTATTATGTGACATTCATTCACTTATTCTCTCAAATGTGTATTAAGCAGTCACTATATATGCAACACTAGGGTTACAGTAATAAACCAAACAGAAACTTCTGTCTTCATATGAGAATGTATATAGAATCATTTCACATGCACAAGGTTCTTTTTCAATAAAAGATATTAGTGTGATGTTTAGTAACTATCACCATGATTACTCTATATTAACCAAAATCCTAAAATTGTTATTACTGTCAATTCTGTTTTAGCTCCTGAAAAATATTTTAATTGATAATTAGACCTTAAACTTAATAGCATTGGTAAATAGTTAAAAAGGCTTAGTACTTTGATTTTAATGAGACTATATATTTATTTATTTTTCAAGGAATTTTAGCAAATACCTGTTTCAGATAGATTGGTAATTTGTGGACATTGCATTGAATCTAACCAATTCCCCCAATTTTATCTCTCCTTAACTAGTAGATAGGTTTTGGTGACAGGACCCCAAATATTGTATGTTTAACACACATACTCTAATGGAGACGAAATGCAGCAAGAATATATTCTTCTACCACTGTCTCTACTTCTTAATCACTAAGTCAAACTTCTCTGATTCTGCTGAGTACATATCCCTTTTATTTCTTACTGCACCTTAGGACCCTGTTTTTATAGTATTATAAACTTTAAATTTCATCTACCAAATGCTAGAAAACATCTGGGAAGATGGGTGAAGATCTACTTGGTTTCTGTTAGTCTTCTAATCACTAGGAGATTTAAAAGTGGTTTGTATAATCATGGTTCCTTGCAGTGATACAAAATAATGTTGGACATCCCAACTTTTCTGCAAGATCTTATCCATGCTTTCAGAAAACTGGGACTTGTTCTTTTCAACCACAGGTCTGGATTAAAGTCCCCATATCCATTGAAAAGGTTCTTTTAAAAGACAACCAACTGATCTAAATACCTGAGTGTTCTTTGCTTTTTTATTCTTTTTCCATTGTTACTCCTTTGTAACCATTGTAGTTCTAAATTCTCTAACATATTCACAAAGTTTTAAATCGTTTTTGGCTCCCATCTTTTGTTGATTGTAAAGAGAGGTTAGAAAATGAATTTAATATTTAGTTTCCATTGCCTGGCTGCTTTGAATTCCTTGAAAACCAAGTAGAAGCCAGTAAGATCCATAAGGGAGTAAAAGGTTACCTTTTAAGCCCATTTAGGGAGACCCAGGGATGTTGAGAATTGTTGTTCAAGAAAGTATTTGTAATTACATTATAAAATCTTTTAAAAAATGGTAATTGTATTCAGGGGAAGATTGTCATGCTATTTATGTAAATTTGCCTTTATTATAAGGTAATAAATCATTGGGATTTATTTCTTGAATTTTATTGTGTTTATAAATGTAAATTTAGTCCAGATATTTTAAAAAATTTTTAACTTTATATGGAAAGTATCAGATGTATACATAACTATTATTCAGCTCCAATAGTTGTAAAGTCATGCCCAAACTTTATTTTAACTCCCCATATTATTTTGAAACAAATTCCAGAAATTTTATTAATCCATTTACAATATTTCATTATATATCTAAAAATAAGGTCTCTTTAAAAGCAACAAAATGCCATTGTCATGTATACTAAAAAAACCCAGTTATTTATTTTTTGCTTTTTATTACTTAAAATTTTTTATTGAAAATTTTTCTAGAAGTTTTTATTTATTTTATTGTAATTTTTATGCTATTACAGTTATTTCACTTTTCTCCCCTTTGCCTTCCTCCACCAGTTCACAATCAGTCCCCTCACTATTGTCCGTGTCCATGGGTCCTTCATATATGTTCTTTGATTGGCCCCTTTACCTTTCAATCATAGAAATTTTTTAAAAATTATTTTATTAGCTATAAAATATAATCTTCCTGATTCTTCCCCCTTTGCTCCCCTCCACCTAGCAACCCCCACTCCCTCATGCAGTCCCTACACCTGATTCATGTCCACATCAGGCTTATAAGCTCTTTGGCTACTCCATCTCCCGCACTGCACCACACATCCCCATGGCTATTCTATAACAACCCATTTGCACTTCTTGGTTCCCTCACCTCCCCACCCACTTCCAAATACCCTCCTCCTATCTGGCAGTCATCAAAATGCTCTCATATCCATGACTCTGTCTCTGCTCCTCTCATTTTCCTAGTCCTTCAGTTTCAATTCTTGATAGATATGCATCTTCACCATTTTATTGTTTATAGTTTTGATCCTGCTCCCTGTCCTAATAAGTCCCCCTGACATTTCATATAATAACGGTTTAGTGAAGATTAACTTCTTTAGCTTTTCTTGTCTGGGAAGCTCTTTATCTGCCTTTCGATTCTAAATGATAAATTTGCTGGATAGAGCAATTTTGTCTGTACGTCCTGTTTTTCATGACTTTGAATATTTCTTGCCAATCCCTTCTAGGTTGCAAAGTTGCTTTTGATAAATCAGCTGACAGTCTTATGGGAACTCCCCTGTAGCTAACTAACTGCTTTTCTCTTGCTGCTTTTGAGATATATTCTTTATCTTTAACCTTTAGCATTTTAATTATTATGTGTCTTGGAGTAGGCCTCTTTGCATCCATTGTTTGGGATTCTCTGTGCTTCCTGGACTTGCATGTCTGTTTCCTATTACCAAATTAGGGAAGTTTTCTTTAATTATTTTTTCAAATAGATTTCCAATTTCTTGTCCTTCCTCTTCTCATTCTGGCATCCCTATGCTGCAACTGTTGGACCTCTTGAAGTTATCCCAGAGGCTACTTACACTATCCTTATGTTTTGGATTCTTTTTTTCTTTTTCTTGTTCTGATTGATTGTTTTTGCTTCCTTATGTTCCAAATCATTCATTTGGTTCTCAGCTTCATCC